AGGCCGCGGGCACCTTCGCGCGCGGCGGCGGCCCCTCCCACCTCCTGCCCCGGAGCCGGCGGGGAGGCGGCGGCCAAGTTGGGGCCCCCGCTGCAGGGGTCTGAAACCTGTCCTGCCCGCCCCAGACCCATCCGTGCAGCGTTCGCCCGTCTTTTTTGGAAACATACAAGAAGCTGACTTTGAACTCTGGAGGGATCTTTCCTTTGAAGTCCCGGAGGATGCGACCCTCAAGATGCGCCCTCACTCCACACCTAGGAATTGCCCACGCCCCTAGAAGGCAGGAGCGTGGCTCATTGTACTGGCTTAGGAGCCGGCGAATAGAGAAATTGCGGCCAGAAGCGACGAGTCATTTCTCTGTAGGGCGGGCCCTAGCAGATTTGTGCACCTTTTGGGGTATCCAGGCATACCCCTCGCTGTGTGTCACTGACTCCCAGGTTAGGAAAGTCCCTTAAGGCAGGACGACTATTTTCTGAACCAGCTTTTGGACAGAACCTTTGAATTTGGAAAATCCAGATGATGAACCTTCTGAGCCAGCCACTCTGCTGATGCTTAACTGCCTTCTAGTCCCGACCCAGTTGAGTAAGTGTCCTATCTGCGTTCGGACACCTTCGCTGATGGGAAATCAGCACTCCTCCCCTCCCTCTGATGCCTGTTGGGGCGGTTCTGGCCGTGAGAAAGTACTGTCTTTCAGTGCCCGTTTGAAAACTCTACTGGGAATGTTTACCCACTGGCCTCAGTTCTGCCCTTCAGCCTCTACAGGCCAGTCTGGTCTCCCTTCCGTACATCGCTTTTAAATATTTGAAGGCAGCCAGGTGCATTATCTACCCACCCACAGCCCTTCTTATCATAATTAAATATGTCACCTTCTTGCTTCCTGGCCGATTCTACTCCCTTCTTTCCAGCCAGAACGATGCTTGGGGCAATAGAGGTTTGTGTGGCTGGGCCTCCCCGCCTCATGGGCTTTGGAGAGGTCATACTGACACCTGGTTTCTCTGAACTGAATCTTGCTTGCAGAGATGGCATCCACAGCCTACCCTCTCAATTTGACCCTGAAAGAAGAGGAAGAGGAAGAAGAGATTCAGAGCCGGGAACTGGAGGATGGCCCCGCAGATATGCAGAAAGTACGAATCTGCTCAGAGGGTGGATGGGTAAGTAAGACGGCGTGGGGTCCACGCAGCCCTGAGAAGCGGGCCTGGGAGCCAGCCTTGCTTTAAGTCTCCTCCTCAGGCAGACGCGGGAAGTAAAAATAGCTCCGCCTGGCTGCACGGTGTGTTTGCATTCCTGAGAAAACAGCCCTGTGGCTTTAAAAGGCAGTGCAAAGAATGGAGGAGGTGGTTATGAGAACAGTCCCTTCAGCCATGTAGCTTGTCACCATTAGTTTGGAAGTCCCAGAAGCCAAGACCTTGTCTCCTTCCCACATTTCCCTACACCCAGCTTGATGCCAGGTACACTGTAGGCACCAAATAAATGTTTGCTGACTTACTGCTGGTTGAAGGGAACCGTTTTAGGTAAGACTCGGGTCACTGAGATGACATGAAGAGAGTTGGGCCAGTCGGTTCTACACGAGTCCCTCTTAATCGTAGTTCATACGCGACAGCTGCAAGTCCTGACCCGGGTTGAAATGGTAGGCAGCGGGGAATACAGAGATTCAGCATATTCAGAATAGTGGGATAGAGGTGAACTTACACAAGTGTAAATGCAACAGATATTTATGGTGACATATACTTATTCACAGCAGTTACTGGACTTCACGGTGATTAGGCATGAATGGTAAACATTTTAAGCAACATATTGGCATTGTTTTCTCTGCCTAGTTTTCAGTCGTGTGTAAACATTATCAGTATACGTAATATCCCAGAAGAGTCCCTATCCATAGAACCATGGTGCTTCCAAATTGTTCAGTCCATACCCCCTCCCACATTAGGGAACTGCGGTGCAGAAAGTTTATCTGCTTCACCCCAAGGATACACATGTACACTGACATTTATTCTTAAAAACAGGTTCCCTGAAAGTAATTAAAAGTAATGCCATTAAAAGTAATGCCTTTGCTGTATGTATGTTATACCTCAATTTAAAAAAAAAAAAAAACGCAACACAACCCCAGGCTCTGGGTGTGCCAATCTAGCTGTGGAGGCCATGCTGCATTTGTGTCATCGGTGTTCTTTGCCCATCCCATCCTCCTCCCCAGTTCTGATCTGGACAGGAGTCAGGACCATCTAGCCTGGAGTGAGTCCTCAAAGCAGTAGAAACCCTGGGCTTTGAGGCTAAATTAGCCAACCCAGAACATCTAGACAGAGTGGAGAACCTTGGAAAGCAGATGCAGCAAAAGTGAACATGTTGGGACAAGAAGAAAGGAGCAAGGTGAAGACCATGCTTGGGCCGGGCCAGAAGGAAGTAACCAGAAGAGCTGGAGGGACTGGGCAGCTTCCTGGGCCTGGGGATTTGCCATTTGTGGCTCCCAGGCATCTGCCATCCATCTCCGAGGTTACAGAGCACAGTGCTGGGTGTAAAGACAGGATCCTATCCTTGTGGAGTTCCTAGTCTTGTGAGTGAGACGAAAGGAAACATAAGAGCGAGTACAGTGTGCAGAGGCAATGGTAGATTCAGCCAAGGTGGGGAGGCCTGATCTGGGCTGGAATCAAGGGGCGTCCTGGGCAAGGCCTAGTCTTGAGCAGTGAGCGGTTTTGCCCTCCTGCCCCCGACCCTGGACATTCGGGAGTATCTGAACACACTTGCGGTTGTCATTCATGACTAGGGTAGGGCTTGGGGAGCATCTAGTGGATAGAAGCCAGGGCTGCTGCTAAACATTTACAATGCACAGGATTCCGCCTCCCCCCACCCCACACACACACAACGAAGAATTATGTGGCCCAAAATGTCAGTTGTGCTGAGGTTGAGAAACCCTGCTCTAGAGCATTAAATTAGGGGAAGAAAAGAATTGAGTCTGTTTTTTAGCTATGTGTTTTGGTTGCAGAGAATTATGTCACGATGATCAATAAAAGCTTCCCAAGCATAAGAACTGTGCTATATATTAGGATAAAATACCATAGGATTGGAGTAGAAATACAATTTCACATAGAAAAGAGAAAAAAATGTACTTTGAACTGAGTCTTAGTCATGAGAGGAAGCAGCCAAGGGAGGGAGGGGTTTGCACTCCAGGCCAGAGGACAGCGCGAGCAGGGCGCTGGAGCGAGGAGCCTGGTGCAGCCAGAGCCAGGAGCAGCTCCTGCGGCTGGAACCTGAAGTGCACAGCGGGGAGTGGAGGGGGATACAGCCAGGCCAGGGGCCGGGGCCTGCCAAGGAGTGTGAGCTCTCTCCTTAGCTGTGAAGAGTGAGTCCTCAGCCCTTCTTTCTAAGGGACGTCTCAGGCTGTCTAAGCCACCATGCTGAGGTTAAGTGACCTGCTGAGAAAACACAGGCCTTGGGAGTCAGGCTTTATAGCTCTGTGACCTTGGGCAAGTTTCTTAAACTCTCTGTTTTCCTTACCCATAGCAATAGGGTAGTAATCCCCATATCCCTAGCTTACTTAAAGGATTCAATGAGAGAATATATTTCTGTAAGAGGGAGTGCCCCATACAGTGCCTGGCACATAGCAGGTGCCCCATCCGTGCATCCGTACAAACTCATTGCCCTGCGGTTCCTGCCACCTTTGCTGGGTGGTTGTGAGGCTGCAGTGAGCCTGTGCAAGGTGTAAGCCTTTCACAACAGTTACCCTTCCAGATAAGCGCAGGCGGAGCAAGGCAGTGCATACAAGCCAAAGGAAGAACACCTATCCAGCGAGCCCTTGATCTTCTGACGGAAGGGAGGAGGGCCCCTACCTGCAAGGCCAAGAAAGGGTGTCTGGAGGTTGTACGCAGGCTGCCCGACTTGTCAGTGTTGCTCGGGGCTGGCCCTGTTTACCTTCTGCTGCGTTCGGCCAGATAAAAGGCCTCTGGAGCGCGGGGAGGCCTGCACAGCAGGGCCCAGACGAGGGCTCGCTCACTTCTCACAGAGGGTTGCTGGGAGGAGAATTCTAAGCCACTGCACTGTGCCTCTGGGGCATAATGTGAGCTTGTTTGAAGATGCCAGTGGTGGCTCCGTCCTGAATAGGAGGAGATGAGTCCCGCACCAGCCTCTGGCCTTCTCACAACTTCAAGGCTCCTCATACCTAATGCTTTCACCAGGCCTAGAATGCGTTGCCCCTGAGGGTATTGACAGCCCCTCTGGAATGACATGCACAGCCAGTCCTGTGTCCTGTTTCATCAGCCAAGGGAAAGGGACTATAAATAGGTATGGCCTAGATCTGGAACTTTCTAGGGAGAAAAAAGGCCAAAGGGAGAGTTGTTTAAAAGCCTAGGAAGTGGGAAGGGAGTGGGGTGGAAAATTCCTGGGCTTTCCAGGTTGAGGAAGTCTGCAGAAAGCCTGGAAACCAAGCCGTTTTTACCTCCTAGTATTTCACACTTAGCGATTTTTGTCCATTCTTACTCCAAAGAGTAGGCTCAGCTTTATGACAGTTAAAATTTCATGATTCTCTGAAACGGTTCCAAGTGGAACAAAAGAAGGGAAATCCAGAGATGATTTGCCTAGATCGTTTATTCGAAAACACATTTTTAAGTGACTGCTAGCTACAGCCAGTGTCCTAGGCTTAGGGAAACAAAAAGGGATAAGCACAGGTTCTGTCCTCAACAAGTTCATACTCTAGTAGTGCAGGGAGCAGAGGAGTCAACCTAAAGAAGACTGCAGTGTGACAAGTGCCACCATAGTGTCGAGCCCAGGGCATCACGGGAACATGTGGGTGTGCTCACGGCATGGGGCAGAGTGGGCTTCCTGGGGGGCAGGATGTCTCGGCTGTCTTGGAAGATGGGTGGGTGTTAGCCACGCCAAGAATGGGGAGGCTCTCTGAGGCCCAGGAAGAATGTGGGCCAAGGGGTAGAGGTGCTGGGGGATGGTTTGTTCATTAACTGCAAGCAGCCAAGTACAGGCAGAGCACACAGGTGGGGGAGAGTTGAAGGTTAGTCATCAGGGAGGTAGTTCTGTTCGCTGGATGGCCACAGCCTTGGCGTCAGACAGTGCTGGATCTAAATCGCAACCCTGCCGTTTCCTGGCTGTGTGGCGTTAGCCTGGAAATGAGTCCTCTCTGAGCCCGTTTCCTCCTTGATTAAATGGGGGCATCTCTGCCCGCCCCCAGGGTGGTCGGGGGAAATAAACGAAGCAGTTACAAGGCCTTTGCTAGTAAGTGCACGTAGGGGCTGTGGGGGTGGGAGAGAGTAAGTGGGTGAGGGAGGAAAGGCCAGTGTATCCCAGGGACCGATGGCCTGGCGCCTAGACAGGCTGCAGGCTGTGCAGACCCTAATTTCCTCAGCTGAGGAAAAGCAGTATCATTATCACCAGGCCCAAGATTTAGCTGTGAGGAATGGCTTCGAAGGTGAGTGTACAAAGTATCCAGAAGCAAGCTGCCCAGTGATTTCTTACCACTAAGTATGGTCAGCTTTGGAGTAGGATTTTTAATGACTGAAAGAAAAAACACAGTAAAAAGAAAAGCAGGTCATTTAAAAAGCAGAGGAGATTGGTGTGGGTGGCTTAGCTGCCTTTAGCTACTGAGGAGCCCCCTCTTGCTGGGGAGCAAGCGGATGGGGGCTGGAGTCTTCATCCTTGGGGCTTTCTGCCTACCTGGTCTGGGATCAAAGCGAGCTAGTTTGCTCTGGCGTCTCACTACATAACTTAAGGTCTAATTAGCCCTTCTCGCCTCTTCTTGCTCTTGTGGATTGGAAAGGCCAAGCAGGGTCCCTCCTCTCACTGGTTCCTCCCTGGGTGGCTTTGGATTCCAAGTCATTCGGGTTAGTGCCCTTGGAAAGGGAGCACCCTGGAAAACCACAGAGATCCCAGGGAGAGCAGTAATCGTACTGGAATTGACAAACCAACCCGCCCCACCCTGGGCTGAAGGTCTGACTGGAAGGTAGGGGTATGGGTTGGGAGGAGGTGTTGGTGGGGACATTTTCTCTGGGTGTGGGTGGCTTCCGTTTCTGGAGTCAGGGGTGAGCTGTGAGCAGCTCTCACTGCAGTGTGTGAGGATGCTATGTCCAGGGTCCCCCACCTGGGTGATCCAGCAGTAGGGAGTTTTCTTCTCAAGGTGCTGCTTTCCTTATCTGTGAACTGAGGGTGGCAGCTGCCATCGTGACGGGTAAGAACTCAGCAGGGCACAGGAGGACCAAGCTCTTGCCCTTGTTTGCCTCCAGCAGCCGTGTGAATGTGGACAGGCCGTTCCCCCCCCCGCCCCAGGTCAGGGCCCCTTACCTGACCTGTGAGAGGAAGGGCTGCCCAGGTTGCCTGTAAGACCCTGTCTGCTCTTAGAGCCTGTGTCTGCACGAACCTGTTCATCACTGAGAAAGGCCTGTTCACTGTTCCAGGTACCAGCCCTGTTTGATGAGGTGGCCATATATTTTTCTGATGAAGAGTGGGAAGTTTTGACGGAGCAACAAAAGGCCCTCTACCGGGAAGTCATGAGGATGAATTATGAAACTGTCCTGTCCCTGGGTAAAGCTTTGTTTTCTTTTGTCTCCTGCAAGCTCTGAGCCCAGAGAATTGTTTCTATGTCTCTCTTCTCTGGTGTAGCCAGTGTCCCTCTCTCCTGAACTTGGACTCTGTCTCCTCAATGTCTGCGCCATTTAATTTCCTATTTTTGATTTGGACGGTATATAAATATTGTGTCCTTTGACTCAGCAACTTGTGTCACTTCTCAGAAATTCTCTCACTCAACCTAGGCATTGGCATTTAAAACAAACAAAACATAACCTTAGAAATGTCACCCTGGGTCTGGGCCCGTGTTCCTTAGGAGGGAAGGCAAGGCCTCGTTATTATCCTATTAGCTTTGAAAGCTTGGGGACATACCCCCAAAGAGTGTTTGCTCCACCTCTTCCCCAGGACTGGTATCCTCCAATCCGTCTTATCAGAATGTAGCCATTTGGAGGGCTGTTCCAGCTTCCTCACACAGGTACCAGAATGTTCACTGGATTAGCGGCTGCATCCCCCCACTTCCCTGCTAAATGCAGTTCTGTTTTTGTTGTTGCTGGTACCATCCCTCGTTAGCAGAGATTCATAAATTCCCTTGGGCAGACCTGTTTCCCATCATATTTTTCCTTTAAGTATCCCTGAGCCTTTTCCCCTCGTTTTTCACAAAGGAGGGGACGGTGTTTCTGAAGTACTATAAAGCACTCCTGGTAGTGCGCCAGGACAGTAACACACAGCTGTTACCTGTTTTATTTCCTATAAACAGAATTCCCGTTCCCTAAGCCAGACATGATCACTCGGTTGGAAGGGGAGGAGGAGTCTCAGAATTCTGACGAGTGGCAGCTCCAAGGAGGAGGAACCTTTGCAGGTACTATGAACGAACCAATTCAGCATCCATCCAAATGGGAGCGTGGTGACGCTGGGTTTTCAGTTTCTACGTATAAATACATTCTGTGGGGTATTGAAGAGTGAGGTAGAAAGATGAGCTTTGGAGTTGAAAAGTCCCCCTCTGCCCAGTGTTAACTGTGGGACCTTAGGCAACTTCTTTCACCTCTGAGCTTCCATCTCTTCCTCTGTGAGCTCTGGGTAGTAAGACTTGACGTGCGACCTTGTACGCGAATGAAGTGAAATGAGGCTAGTACGGCATTTGGCCCAGCGCAGCACACGCCTCTGCACGCTTCCTGAGTTTGCTGGCTTTCTGTCCGTTTCATACTGGATGGAAAAATCAATAGCAGGCATAGTACACATTGCAGCAGATATGTCTAAGGAGCACTTACTCCTTTATCGAGAAAAATGGTTAGCAAGGTAGCAGTGAAGTAAGTATAGCATAGCTTCCAGACAGCCAGAATAGCTTTGTTTTTTCTCTAGAGGTAAGAATTTAAAATGCCGTTATTTCACTGACTCTAAGATATGCTTTCCCCCACCACTTCACCGTCTCTGAAACTGGGAATGCCTCTTAAAGTCAGTGGCTTGTCATAGCTTAATTATGGCATTTTTTTCCTTCCTTAATGGCACACGATGGTGCATTCTACAACTGATGGCATTTTAGTTTTGGTGAAATTTCCCCAAATCGTATCCAACTTCTGTAGCCACCTTCTAAATATAAACATACAGTGAAACCCATTTCTAACATTGCTGTGCAAGAACTGATTTTCTGCCTTATGAGCTTAACTTTGTTGAGTGTGGTTTTTCCTATAGGTTTTCTTGGTTCAGGAGATGTGATTCAGCCCATGACAGCATCCAGATTTCTGTAATATTATGTGGCACAATGGGTTACGTTTGGTTTCTCGTTCACATAAAAATTATTTTGACCTAAACGTGGCCCCTAAATTATTTAGTGCCTATGTTCAGTTCCCAGCGCTGCCTCTTTCTAGTCACGTAACCTCTGTACCCTCCCTTCGCTCATCTGCAAAGAAGGCACGGTGATACAGTCATCGAGGATTAGATGTGGGTAATCCATGTTAAGTATCTGGCCTGTGGATAGGACTTAGGCGATGATTATCTGTTATTAAAGTTACTACTTTTGGTGAAACTCAGATTAAGGTATTCTTTGCTTTTCAACCCAAAAAGTAAGGGTACAAACCATTTTACTTACTGGCATTATTTTTGCCCCTCCCTGTTTGTCTCCCAGAAAATGGAGAGTCGGACGTAAAGCCCCCAGACTGGGCAAGCCCACTGAACGCCGCCGCCCACTTTGCGCAGCCTCAGCACCTTGACAGCTTTGGCCTCCGTCTGCCCCGGGACATCACGGAGCTGCCCGAGTGGAGTGAGGGCTACCCCTTCTACATGACCATGGGCTTCCCCGGCTACGACCTCTCTGCCGACGACATAGCTGGCAAGTTTCAGTTCAGCCGGGGCATGCGCCGCAGTTACGACGCGGGGTTCAAGTTAATGGTGGTGGAATACGCCGAGAGCACCAACAACTGCCAGGCCGCCAAGCAGTTCGGAGTGTTGGAAAAAAACGTTCGGGACTGGCGCAAAGTGAAGCCGCAGCTCCAGAACGCGCACGCCATGCGACGGGCATTCCGAGGCCCCAAGAACGGGAGGTTTGCTCTGGTGGACCAGCGTGTGGCCGAGTACGTCAGATACATGCAGGCCAAAGGGGACCCCATCACCAGGGAGGCGATGCAGCTAAAAGCCCTTGAAATCGCCCAGGAAATGAACATTCCAGAGAAAGGGTTCAAGGCCAGCTTGGGCTGGTGTCGAAGAATGATGCGAAGGTATGACCTGTCCCTGAGGCACAAAGTGCCCGTGCCCCAGCACCTGCCCGAAGACCTGACCGAGAAACTCGTCTCGTACCAGCGGAGCGTGCTCGCTCTGCGCAGGGCGCATGACTACGAGGTGGCTCAGATGGGGAACGCAGATGAGACGCCCATTTGTTTAGAGGTGCCATCGAGGGTGACTGTTGACAACCAGGGCGAAAAGCCCGTCTTGGTCAAGACGCCAGGCAGGGAAAAACTGAAAATCACGGCAATGCTTGGCGTCTTAGCTGATGGGAGGAAATTACCCCCGTACATCATTTTGAGGGGAACGTATATCCCCCCCGGGAAGTTCCCCAGCGGGATGGAAATCCGTTGCCACCGGTATGGATGGATGACTGAGGACCTGATGCAGGACTGGCTGGAAGTGGTGTGGAGACGGAGGCCGGGAGCGGCCCCCAAGCAGCGAGGGATGCTCATCCTGAATGGCTTCCGGGGCCACGCCACCGATTCCGTGAAGAACTCCATGGAAAGCATGAACACCGACATGGTGATCATCCCGGGGGGCCTGACCTCGCAGCTCCAGGTGCTGGACGTGGTGGTCTACAAGCCGCTGAATGACAGCGTGCGGGCCCAGTACTCCAACTGGCTTCTGGCCGGGAACCTGGCGCTGAGCCCAACCGGGAATGCCAAGAAGCCGCCCTTGGGCCTCTTTCTGGAGTGGGTCATGGTCGCGTGGAATAGCATCCCAAGCGAATCCATCGTCCAGGGGTTCAAGAAGTGCCACATCTCCAGCAACTTGGAGGAGGAAGACGACGTCCTGTGGGAAATCGAAAGCGAGTTGCCAGGAGGAGGAGAGCCACCAAAAGAGTGTGACGGTGAAAGCGTGACTGAGGGCAACTGAAGGGGAAGTTGAAGGTAATGGTCAGGAGGACATGCCCGGTGCCTTGCTGGGTGACATGTTTGTGTTCTACAAACACGTTTTTCTTTCCGTTACTTTCTGCTTTCGAGTTTTTTTTTGTTTTTTTTTTTGAGACAGTCTCGCTCTGTCACCCAGGCTAGAGTGCCGTGGCATCAGTCTATCTAGCTCACAGCAACCTCAAACTCCTGAGCTCAAGGAATCCTCCTGCCTCAGCCTCCCGAGTAGCTGGGACTACAGGCACGAACCATCACACCCAGCTAATTTTTCCTATTTTTAGTAGGGACGGGGTCTCGCTCTTGATCAGGCTGGTTTTGAACTCCTGACGTGAAGCAGTCCTCCCACCTCGGCCTCCCAGAGTGCTAGGATTACAGGTGTGAGCCACTGTGCCCAGCCCTGCTTTGAAATTCTTTTAGAGCCTACAGAGCAGTAGCGTAGATAAGAGGCCATCAGAATTTTCTCTGTATAAAACTTTTATTGATTAACTTCGTATGTATTTTTCTCTGCAGTCTGGACCCATAAGCACTTGTGTGATACATAAAATGAACAAAGAGTGAGCTAGAACATTTAATCTGAGAGCTGTAAGTTCGAAAGAAATTATTTGAGCCTGAAGGAGCATCATCTGATATTGCTCAGTTCACACACTGTTTTGTCTGAAAAGCCAACTTTTTTCTTTCCCTTATAAATTATGCTGAACGTTTAGGCCAATCGATATGTGTGCCTGATACACTTGCAGCAGCTGTACTTACTCTCACTGGCCTGCAGGACCATGACCTAGGGAGAGCGCTAAGTGTGCCTTCGTACCGCGTCCTCAGGTCGCAGTCCTGGGGTGGTCTGTAGTATGCCCACCATGGAAGCAAAAATAATAGCTGCTGCTTGCTTTTCCCTAGGGAGTTCAAGGGTTTTTAAGACATCATCTTAGTCTCATAATGACCTTTACATGGAGTGGGCAATTACAGTAATTTCCTGTAGTCAGCAGATGTCTGAAGGAAGATATTTTTAAATTGAATCATTTTGCACCAAAAAAACAAAAAAAACAACCAGGGTGCATATCTAGAACTCCAGGGAGGAGAGTTTGAAGGCTGAGGATGATAGGCTTGGAATTTTCAGTTGAGTACAGGAGAGGAGCAGCTTTAAAAGGAAATGAGGAATGGGGGCCTAACAGGGACACACTGGTGAAATGAGCCATGACCCCTCGCCTGTCCCCCCACTCCTCGAGAGAGGAGAATGACCATGTGCAGTAGGGGAAACCCAGAAAGAACAACTCATTTACCTTCTCCTTCTCATTCCCCTGCCAAATGGAAGGAGGAAGCTATCCCTTTTACAAAGGACCTGAAGCCATCTTGACACATTCTTTTTCTTTCTTTTAAAGTATAATTAGGTGTTTTCGCCCTCCTCGCTCTCCAAATGAAATGCTGACGAAATCTCTCAGCCCACTTTATGCTGTATCAGTACATCTGTGTTTCAGTGAGTGGCTTATGTCTCCTTCCTTGCCCCCAGATCAATGTGTACTCGTATCACTGAACCCCATGGTAATTCTGAGATCTGGAATTACAGTGGAGCAAGGAGAAGTTCTTATTATTACATTGAACATCACCAAAATTGCTTCTTTCCCTTTATGTCCCCCACTTGTTGAAAAACCCCATCAATTCAGCTTCCCTTTTCTGCTGACCCTTATACTTCCTCCATTGGATACCAGACTTGACCTAGAGTGAGTTTTTATCCTTTCCTCACCTTTTGCTTTTCCCTGTCCTTGTTAGGTTATATTTTTGTGCATTTTCAGTTTTCTAATTTTACTACCTCAGGGACTTGATTAAAAACTGGCAGATGAGGAAAGAGGGAAAAGCTATGCTAAGCTGCAGCTATCAACGTGGCATTTCCTTCCGGTATCAGTTGTGAGCTTTTGCTCTTCTAGACTGCCACGGTTCTCTGCAGCTGCTGGGGAAGTGATGGAAGTAGACAGGGATTTGTGGCAAACGAGCGATTTAGGAGGAGATGTGTGGGCATAAAGCTGCCTCTTGTCATCTGTTTGGAAATCTGACTAAAGGAATTACCATGTTTGTGAAAAGTTAAAAAGATAGCCAAAATTCCACGGGTTAATTCACACTTAGGTTCTCTCTGTTTTCCAGCAAATGGAACTGTGATTGAAACAGTTGGGGAGAGTTCTTGAGAAGATTATTCCTGAAAGTATGGATGCACAGTGAACTGCAGGGAAAGGGCGTGGGGCCTGACCACACCCCAAGGTGTCAGAAAAGTCTAGGACCCTTAATTTCATCAGAGACATGATAGAAAAGAACCTGCTTCTGCTCCATCTCTTGTTTTGGAGATTACTCCATCTGTCCATCAAAAGAAACCTGTAAATATGAAACGAACAAAGGTATTTCCTGGAGAAGAGACCATTTGTTCAACACCAACAAGAGACTCAGCATATGGGCACAGCTCCAGTGGTGTCCTTTCTATGGACAAAACCTCAAGTAAAAGTTTTATTCTGCCTTTGAAAATGCTTCCAAAAGTAGACCCACACAGGTCAAGACTACAGAGAAGGCTTTGTAGAAATGTGTCAATTATATATACCTGCTACTTGTACATTTCCTCTTTTGGGAAAATGAGATACTAATGATAACAAAATTAAGACATAGACATACTGGCCTGGTGCCAGCAGATGGCTTTTCTATAGACAAACTAGGTTAGTGTGGAAGATATAGGTTAAAATAAAATATGCTGTTTTATTTATCTTCCCAGTCTGGTTGGCAGCTAGACTTTTTTAGGGTCTCATTTAATGGCCCTATTTTTTTCATTATTATATTTAATAACAGGGCAGGAATTAGTACACAAGGTCTTCTGTTTCTCAGGCTGCCTATAGAAAAAGTCATTATAAATTATCTGCTGTCTCCATGGTACAAGGCCCATTGACTCATCTGATACTTGTTTTGTTAATTTCTTTAATATTTTTTATCACAAGGGTAGTGGGAGGGCTTGAGCCTTTAGCCACAGCTGTTTCAAGACTTCTAATCTCCTTCTAGGTCGTCGAATTTTTACATGATAGTAATTTGCATTCCCAGCTAAGTTGAATGTTATGAAAACATTCCTTGAAAGCTATCTGTGCTACAAAAAAATATGCCAGAACCTCATAGAAAAAGCCATTGCTAGAAATGTCATTCCAATGTCAAATCTGGGTAACAGGCTGCCATAACCACTTTTCCTTCCTGTAGACTCAGCTCACCTGTATATTATAAACTTTTTGGCATCTCGAAACACCAGTTTCTACTCAGGTACTCATTTTCCTGTTAGTGATTCATCTTTCTGATCTTTCTAAACTACTTTTCCCCCTAAAGGAGGGAAAATTTCACTTAATTTCTAGTATCTGAATAACTTTCAGTATCTGACTTGTTTCCCCAGTTGCTTTTACCTATACTGTATTCTTGGCCATCTCAAATGTCATCTAAACCGAGCTACTCCATTCCAGAAGTCTCCATTCCCTGCAATTCTACCTAATTTCTCGTTCACTGTCCTAGTTACTGGCCCTTTCTTCATGTCTTATTTCACTTGCTTTGGGAGCTTAAAAGATTTTACAAGACTTAATTTTCGGTTCCTGCCTTGGAGCCATAGTTATCCTGCCAACAAGAGTAGAAAATGGGTTCAACTCCTGTTTCATTCCACCAACACCTCCGTGAGCCTCATCATCAGCTGAGAGATGATGCCTTACAGGTTGCATAGCACTGGAACTTTCCTAGAGTAATGGCTCTACTGTCAGGGTTTTTCTGGGCTCATTCTTCCACTGACTTAATTATGATCCACGTCTAACAGAGCCCCAGTACAACTATTTTGCAGAATGGCTATTACCCTAGAGTTACTATAGCACATATTGAGACATGGTTGTACTCCCTAGTTGATAGGAACTGACCCCAACAATAAACTTTCATAATAAAGACAATAGGCCATGGTGGTTTTATTTAATTACCTGTTAGCGTTGTGAAAAGTTACATTTCAAGCTATTGTCTATACTTTATTCTCTATCCAGTTTGGTATCAGTGTATTACACCCTTGAATCAAATAATTGTGGGATGCAATATAAGTAATGTTGGTGTCTTTGAAGACAAAGGGAAGAGAATGTGTGGTTTTATGGACTTTTACAGGTGAGGCAGGTCTGGCATAAACAGCTCTTTTCCTCAATCAGTCATGTTCTGGATGCTCTCAGGAATGGTACATTACCAAAATCACATGAAGGAAATCTATCAAGGGATATGAATTTAAAATGAGGGGAGAACATGCTAACAAATTAACGGATAGAAAAGAGAATTTAGTATCCTGTTTTCATAAATTTTTCTTAAAAATGAAAGCATGAAGAACTCGTGTCTTTTTGTTATATGCTTTTAGTAAAATTAGTCCTGGCCATTTTCTATGCCCGTACACTTTAAGTAGTAGTCTGCTCTCTTAAGAGTAATCTGGACTTTTTAAACCATCAAAATTTAATGCTGACCCAATCTGTTGACCACACCCTCCAAGTCTGACCCCTAAGACTAAGCTTCCTGACCCTTACTCTTCCTCCCAGAGTCACTGTGCTATGAGTCAAGGACCTGATAGGACCCAGGCATTTATCTGTGGTCAAAAGAGAATAATCATTGAGAAGATAATCTGTGAGATTTGGGAACATGCCAGTCACTTCAGGCAATGGAAAGGAGAAATATTTAAGGAACTTTGTGCTTGCTTGATCACAGCAGCAGGTGGCAAAGGTGACAAGAATATGGTAGGCTGGCCCTCAGCCTGCCTAGTCAAGTAAGGCAGGCTTTATCAAGCCTGGTTTTGTACAGTGATAAACCTGTAGCTAAAAGACAGTTACTTAAATTTCTGCAAGAAAAATAAGCTTTACTCTTAAATCTGAAATTATCTGGTTTCTAACAGCTTTTTTCCTCATTAATTATTTTTTCTAAATGATGCTTGATAATAAGCACCCATGGTTTTCTAACCTAATTATAAGGGATTGCACTAAAGATCCCCACAGCGGGCAGTGGTGTTGAGAGGTGGAGCCAGCCTTTGGTGGGACAAAGTTCAAATCTCTTTCCGGGGCTCTCTTGAAAATCCTCAATATTACTTTATCTACCCTCCTACCCAGCCTTCAGCCCCATCTCCCCACTTTAGAAAATGATTTCTTGAGGAAAACTGAACAGAGATCTTAGAGCGTAGACCTGAAATATGAGGCAAAGGGAGTCCTCTTGCGTTCTGTGGTCCCACCAGGTAGATAGGTGACTCCAGGAATTTAGGCAGGTCCCATAGGGTGATGAGGAATTTTCCTGTTTGCAGTTTCCTTTGTGCCATACAGACCCCTATGGCACCTGTCCGTTGGGCACAGCTGAGGCTCCTGGCTGCCTCCATCTGTGGAACTCATAAAATTTAACACATATTCATTCCCTGGGCAGCGTTGAGGTCCAAAGGTATAAGTAGTCAAAAACAAAACCACTATATTAATTTGAATATCAGTTCAAATTCTTCCAAACCCTAAAAATTCTTAAGTATTATTTCACCTAAAACACCAAATGGCTTGTGCCAAGAACTGAAACTAAGCCATTGATTTTTAAGTCTTAATCTATATACATCACAAAAGGAAGAAACGGCATACCTTAACGGGGACCTGCTTTTTAATCTTTCTCACTTTAGTATATTCTTTTGAAAAGTCTCTGCCAAGATTTCATAAAGCAAAGTTTTCATATTTCTGTAGAAGGTAGTATTCCTTATGTTTACTCTAATAAACAACAAAAATTTTCTCCCAAAAGGTTTATTTGTCACATGTAAAGTACAAAATCAAATACACAGATCCAGATATGTGAACCATATATACAAATCTGTACATCTATTATTTAGACCTACACAAACCCATCTATACATTCTAATTTATCCATCAACACTATTCTTGAGCAAAAACCAAGATATCTCTGAAAAAACAAAGTTGGTTATCAGTAACACTGTCAAATGTAAATTATCTTCACTTTATCACTTGAAAGGGTAGAAATAGATATTTCATAGGAATTATCAAGCATAAATCCAATTTGTATAGATTTCTTAAAGCACATTCTACAAAAATAATAGATGAACCTGCCAATCAAAGTCTTTGGGCATTATTAACTCTAAAAAAAATGAGTGATGGGAAGACATTTTATAAGGTTAATTAATTGCATTCCAAGGGTTTTGTTTGTTTGATGTTGGTTTTACATGCAAAGAAAGGCCTTTATGTTGTGTAATAACACAGCATTTCCAAGTCATATTTTCCATGGAGTTGTAATGACAGATTTTTTCAGGGACCTACCTATAGCTGTTAAAAATTAAACTAGTCATTAAAGGAGGTATCTGATTTTTAACACTGTATAGGTTATTTCAACCAAAATCCAAGAGCACAGTTCTTCAACAGAAAGGCAGAAATTTTAGACTTTTAGATACAGAATATATGATATGTCACTGAACACCTGGATGTCCTGTGACCATGGGGACGACGTTAGAACAGCTTCTTTGTTCTAAGATGTCATCTACCTCACATGCAGACCACAGGACGCTAAGCCTCAGCTGCCCAAACATCTCCACACCAGGCACAGACCTTCATCAGTGCCTGCTCCCGTAACTGGGAGCACATGCATACAGTGATACGGATCATTATCAAAATCAGATCTAGGTCAATGGCTTCACAGTAGCAACACACAATGTACTTGATGTCACATTTCCATAGGAAAGTTTACATATACACTATACACTTCAGCCTTGAAATGTGGACCCCAAAAATATTCAATTTTCAGTAAGCAACCTGGTGAGGGTCCCATACCCTCAGACCCTAATTTAGCACAGCAAAAGCCCCTCCTTGGCTGCCAAGCGCTCACGGTGAACTTTGTCTTGCTGTAGTTCTTCGTGATTTGGATGCCACAGTTTCATGATGATCCTTTCAATGTTAAGGGCATATACAGTATGTGTAGGAATGACTTCTCTGTGTACCTGGGATTTAAAAAATCATGTCTCCAATTACACTTTATTATTTTTCTTTTTTTTTTTTTTTTTTTTTTTTTTTTTTTGAGACGGAGTCTCGCTCTGTCATCTGGGCTAGAGTGCTGTGGCATCAGCCGAGCTCAAAGCAACCTCAAACTCCTGGGCTCAAGCGATTCTCCTGCCTCCGCCTCCTGAGTAGCTGGGATTACAGGTGCGTGCCACTATACCCAGCTAATTTTTCTATTTTTAGTAGAGACGGGGTCTCACTCTTGCTCAGGCTGGTCTCGAACTCCTGAGCTCAAGCAATCCTTTCGCTGCGGCCTCCCAGAGTGGTAGGATTACAAGCGTGAGCCACCACGCCCAGCCTCCAATTATACTTTAGTATACTTACTTTCCCAACGTATAAAAGTAGGGTTTGTATCAACGAAACACAACAGACACAAAACCTATAAACTTTAAGTCAGAAGTTGATGAATCCCAAATCAGATAAGAAAACAACAATAACAAGGTTCTAAAATAGGAATAAGGGAACAAGGGGGTTTTTCTTTTCTTTTATCAGGGGGTAGAAGACGGGGGAGGTAAATTAGGAAGGACTCCTGGGCTCAGGATTTGACAAATGAGGCCAGTATTAATGGCTTTAATAACAAACAATAAAAACTGAAAAAGACAAAGCCAAGAAGTGGAAGCAACTCCTACCCCTAAATCCAGGTAAACTTTAAGGACCCAAGAATTACCTGCAAAGCTTCAAAAAGGTCGTACATGTTCACAGGAGGCAAAGACGCAGGCAGCGTGTCCCCGGCGCAGGCCAGAAGGAGCGCGGCCTGCTGCTCAGCATCGTCAGGGGGCGGGTGGGAAGCTGGATTCTGACCAGCACAGGGAGCAGAAAAAGCCGGAGGGCTGAAAATAGAAATTTCAGAAACATTCCCAGCGTGGAAACAACTGAACAACTAGAATAGGAGTAGCCTGCTAGAATCCTATGAAGAATATCTCAAAATGAATCAGAAATCCATTCAGTGAATACTAACTAGTATATAAATGAATAGTCCATAATTTTAATTTTTAAAGGCAGCCCATCTATCAGGTTGGAAACAACATATAATGCAACCACATTTGCCCTCCTTCCTCCACATTGTTAAAATATTTACTTAGCTCAGGACACTGAACCAAAATTGTTTCTTACCCTTAAAGAGCTTCCAGATGAAAAAATAATAGGGCTTAACTAGAGAAATATGAAAATGAAACAAATAACAGAGGAAAGTGAATGGTACTGGAGACAATAGGTTCAAAAATAAAGAGCAAGAAAAGAAGATATAGCACAAAAGAAGCAACAGGCAAAACTAGAGAATGGGGAAGATTCATTGAGGTCTTGCCAATTTCCCAAAATAGAGCATAGATTCAATACAAGCTGAGAAGTCAGGCATGATTTTTACATAGTAATACAGTAGGACAGTGGTCCCCAACCTTTCTGCACCAGGGACCAGTTTCATTAAAGATAATTTTCCCACAGAAGTGGGGAGCAGTGGCGGGGGCCGGGGGGATGACAGAGCTCTGCAGCCCGGAGGCTGGGGACCACAGTGGTAGGAGATAACCTATACAATTGTGAGGAACAAAGAGGTAAAACAGAAGATCGAGGCCTAACTCGGAGGAAAGCACAGTGGCACACTGGCGTGGGACTGCAGCATCAGACAAAAGCAGCCCTGTCAGAGTAACAAGCAGCCCACAGAGAGACAAAACCCTCTCAGGGACTGGTCAGCAGGGGAGAGGGGACTCGGGAGTCCCGCCAGGGTCAGACATTGTTCCCAACATCACCCACTGCAAGGAGCCACTTTTTTTGGCTTGTTTTTCTCTAGAGAAGAATGACTTAAAAATGAAAATAAATAATCCCAAACAGATATGCCTGAATGAGATCTAGACAATAAATAACCACATATGTCATCTAAACAGTGAACCCAACTTAAGGTGGTGGTCTCCAAACTGGGCCTGTGACCCCTGTAAAGGTCTTCGGAGCCATGAAACGGGCACCAATACAAGCCCCTATGCGTGGTGTCAATGCTGGCTGCTCTGTCCAACTCTTTGCTTTCCCTCCTACACTTCCTGCCGTCCTTTCCTGTTATCTCTTCACCACCATCACCCCGCCAGCCCTCCCCGTCGTACTGTTTTCTCTCAACTTATATCCCCCTATTATCTCTTTACCTCTCTTCTCCCTAACTAACCAGATAAACGAAGTCCAGTGATCAAAGGAAATTCAGTCTCTTCAGTAACCATGAGGAAAATTATATTTGCTTTTCTTTCCCTAAGGCTTAAAATTCAGACTTAAATTTTTTTTTGGGGGGGGGTGTAGTGGTGAGAAAGGGAGGTCAAAAGGTGAGAAAGACAACACATGGATGAAGGTAGTCTAGGTTGTCTCATAAAGGGGTGACTCAGGACATCAGAGGTTCTGGGCCCTCAATGGAGTGAGGACACAGGAATCCCAGGGATGAACTGAGACCACATCTGCATAACAGGATGCGAAAAGCAATCTGATGGCACCTGGCACAGGCCACTACCTTGAGCTACAGCTACAAGAGCCACATGAGGACCTTGAGAAAAATCTACTACTCCTCCTCCCCTCATTAAGAAATCCAGCCTTGACCCAACAATCACGGGCCACGCTTCTGACTTCGCCGCCAGGCAGGTGCTGCCCCTCAGGAGCCATCAGGCTGTACTTCCCCGAGGGAATTACTCCATTCCACCTGAAAGTGAGGGGCAGCCACATTAAACCCACAGGCAGCACCCGAACTCTGGAACTTCACTCCGGATAAAAAGTGTACCAAAATAACTCACTACCATGCAAGGAAAGGATTTAAGAAATAAAATTGTACTGCTGTCAAAGGTACTTTAACCTGCAGCGCTACAATGATCGATTATTTAACAGTGGTCTATTACAGAAGAACAGTGTAACCAATTAGCAAAGGATGGAACAAAATCACAGGAAACCTCACTTACCTTTCTATTAAGTTGTTGTAAGCTACTACACTATTCTTCAGGTAAGGCTGTGGGGTCACATTACTACCAAAGGCATATTTAAAATGGCCATCTCGTAACCGATAAGCTTTCCTTCTTGACACGACTGATGTCAGTATATCTTTTAGGTGATTCTGTAAAAATAAGAAAAGAAAAATAGCATGATCTTCTCTTTAAAAACAAATCATAAAATTTCCATTGACCAAAAAATGTTTATTAGCATTTAGATGGAGATGTGCAACAGGCTTAGCACATTCTAGAACCAAATGAATGTTCAAAAAGAGCCATACCAGGGGAGTGGGAGGGTATAGGAAAGAGGGGGACATGCTCATTTTTATTTACTTCTCTTTAAGACGGGCTTTCTCTACATGAAATTTATCTTAAAAGTTTTTTACATCTCTAAATTGGTTTCTCTCTCAAAAATGATTTCTAGATAGCTTTACATAAAAGGACAAAGATAAATAATTTTTTACAAAGAGGGAAATTACCTTGAAAGTTGGTTTAAAATGTGGAAAAATGTTTCAAGATCTGGGGTTATTGGTTACAATAGCCAATCCACCAATATCTTTGCATGAAAAGAATCTCGGCTCTCTCAAAAGCCAAATAAACTAGAGATATACAGAAAATAAACACAAAAAAATTAGGTACTTAATTTCTCTTTGCCTTTATGAGAAAGTACATATGCCAAGTACATAAGAAAAGGTTGGGAAACGTCTGT